TTTTGAAAAAAATTTACTTCGAAAAGATTAGATTTTTGAGAAAGGGATCGTTCAAGTATTACGTAAGCAGATTTATTACAATTATTTACCCCCCCATCCCCCTTGTCAGCAAAAGTAAGCAAAGCTCTTACCCCCTACCCCCATGCTTACGTAAACATTTTGCAAGCAATTTGCCTTAAGGCACGATGCCTTAATTTCCTTAAGACACATTTCCACTTACAGCTAGTTTAAGCTCTATTTACGCCAACTAGTACTTTTGTTGTAACAACCTTTGTAATAACAACAATGACAAGAAGGACTACCTTGAAACTTGAACTTTTTTTTATTTTTGTTTGACGTTGAACCGTATTCTTGAAATATTTATTTGCAGTCTAAACAAAAAAACAACGAATAATTTTCCAAACCATGAAAAACAAACAAAATTAACACATTGTTTTAAAAACTTAAAAAAAATTGATCAATTAACAAGATTGATCTGGGCAATATTTTACTAATCATGAATGTTCTGAGACTGAGCTTGGTGTCCAAACATACAATTCAAACGGTGCCGAAATAAGGATGTTCTAATATGAAATAAGCCAGGAAGAAAATCTAAGTATAAAAATGCATCAGTACGTTCCTAGGATATGAAATTGATGGTGGAAAAAATTAAACTATCAATTTATCATGCTATAAACGTGTTCAGCTGCTTTTTAGCTCCAAATTTTATAACAATTTGTAGCTTTGATAACAATTATTCATTTTGCATTTAAGTAGTATTTTTTTATTTTTAAGTATGTTGGTGCGTGTTTTTACCATCAGGGGACAAATTCCTTCACAAAATATAAACTAGATAAAGATGCGTCGATATATACAGCGGAAATGTATGCTATAATAGGTGCGTAAAGTATATTGATGAACATAATGTGAAGAAATCGGTAATAATCAGCGATAGCAGGTCTGCTCTTGAGGGCATGTTGTCGTTGGGAAAGGACCCGTCATTATTAACGATAGATACTCTAAATGACATACATGCGATATTATCAAAAAATTGGGAGTTACGCATTGTATGGGTAAGAAGTCATATTGGGATAGCTGGCAACGAAGCGGCGGATAACGGCGCCAAAGATGCAATAAATACAGGGACTGTTGCTGCGGATGGAATATCTTATAGAGACATAAAAGATTTAACAGAGCAAACATACGGAACATTGGCATTTGGATTTTCAGTTATCTATTAGAATTAAAGGTAAATTTTATGGTATGATACAAGGAAAAATTCCAGTCAAACCATGGTATGACGGATTTAAGGAGTGTCGGCCGTTTTACACAACATTGTGTAGATTAAGACTAAATCATTCTTACGCTCCGTTCTGCTAAGCAGAATTGGGATCGATATCGATCCTAGTTGCTACTGCTTGGGCGAAGCGACTAGGGCGGATGCAGAGCACATCATCATGGAGTGTAAACGTTGGGAAAAGGGCAGACGAAAACTATGGGAGGAAATAATTAAACAAAAATCTCCCTTCCAATTAATTTTATAACAGTGATGACAGATACAAGATTATATGGAGCTCTTTATATTTACATCAAATGTAATAATATAAAATTATAAATGCAATATACATAAAACAATGATATATATGTAAGAGATAGCGTAGATATTATGTAATTTAGTATATGGCTAATGTACCAGTTTATAAAGCCAATAAAATAATAAAAAAAAAAAAAAGTATACAATAAATAACTTTCGTTAATATCATAGTTTTCAGTAAAAAAATAATAATTAATAAATAAATTAAAGTAATTGAAAAAAATATATAAAACCCGCAACTTAATGTGTTCATATTTTTGATAATTTTACACGGATAATGAGTCAAATCAAGGTCTTCAATAAATTTTGTGCAAAAATAAAGAGTGTAGTGTGGTCGTGTTTACATAATTAATAAATGTATGTATATATATACAACACACCCAATCCGATACTAGTTTTTAATTTAAAACTTTCACCTTTCAACGTTTGCCAATGAGACACCGGCTGAGACATTCATATACAATCTTGTATTCATGCATATATACTCATTTGTATCCATAAGTATGTGATTATATATATATATATATATATATATATATATATATATATGCACTGATACTTATGGATGTATATTTTACTATATAGACTATATATAGAAATCATTTTTAAAATTTCCAAATATATATGACGACCTTGTATCTAGTAAAAACAGGAGAAATTGATTGACATTTTGATAAACGTTTAGCAATGTATCTATTAATATTCATGTATAATTTTACCAAATTTAATGAGGTCTATTAGCTTTGTCAACTTTTTTATTTGCTTTTTACATGACCCATTCATATTTCATGCTATATATAACTCATTTTTCTCTCACTAATTTGTAGAATTAGTGATAGACAAAAATTAAATTTTGTGTATAGAGGAGCTTTCATTTATAATTTTATTAAACGTTGGGTCACTAATGAAGCTAAAACATTATATATATATATTTTTTAAATTTAAACATATTGAATATTTGCGCTCATAAAACAGAACAAAAAAGTTGTCAAATGGCTTTTATTGAATATAATAATTATATTGTCAGAAATACAATTAATATGTGATTGACAAGTACAACTATGTCGATGTTAGTATTCAAAATTATTTATAGTCCTTTTATCCTGAAATTTTGTCTTATATTTTTGAGTTATTTTTTGTGGTTTTAGATAATAGATATATTTGTATATCTATATATATATATATATATATATATATATATATATTATTTATTTATTTATTAATTGACTCTGTAATGCATAATGTTTCTTTTAAAGATGTTTCGATTCTATACCAGAACCCCATACTGACAAAAGTTTAATATTATATTTCGAATCACATATGGATTATTCTCATATTTTCCTTCGATTAAATTCCATATCTTTTATATTTATAAAAAACATAAAATATATTTTTTATTTTAATTATATAAATATCTTTGTGAATATTAATTTTCACATTATAAAAGCCAAAGTTTAATTATATATGGCAACAAAGCAATTACAACAGATTTTTACCACAAAATTTTACGCGTACATATAATATAGTTGAACATACTTTTGAATTAATTGGTTTTAAAATGTTTCAATATTATTTGTTATTTTTTACCCTGATGTCCTGATGATGAGACACAAGGTTTCGAAACGTTTATAGCGTATAAAATTATTTAGTAATATTAAAAAGTGATATGTGTTCATATATACATAATTTATAAAATATTTTATTATGATTATTGAAATGTATATTATTGCTGAATAAATGTTTCCTTATAGTGCGAGTTTGAAGGTATTGGCTTAGCTGATGTCTTAATGATGAATCCAGTACCTAGTGTTCATGTATACTTTCAGACATTAATTTTGTGTAAATTGAGGCATCTTAAAAAACTATTAAATATATAACAAATAAACATCTGCAATTGGCTTGTAATCATCTTATTTTGAAATTTCAAATAACCAAAATGATTTCTGCTGTTCGACTCAAAAATTCAAACCGAGGTATCTAATTATTGTCTTTGCAAAGACGTAGAAATGTAAGGTAGATGTCTTTTGTACTCAGTCTCAAAAAAGCAATAAAATTTTATTTGGAATTTACTCGTCATCGATTCGCAAAAATTTAATCTGGAAGAAAAATTTAGTCTTCTCATGATGACAGCCACTTTCTAAGACGTCTTTATTCCAATTAATACTAGTTGGTTAAATTTTATTAATTTTTCTATGACAGTATAGTTAAAGAGCAGCTTCTATCACTATTATTATATACTTTTCTCATATATATTATCATAACTAAAAAAATTTAATCTATACCATTTGTATTGGTTTCAGTTCTATTTAGTAAAATATATATAAGAATGAGAAATTATAATTGGCTTAGAAATACTCACATTAAATTTATTTGTATAAATGTTTGTAATACCTATATTTATAGTGCCTTTAAGAATATTCGAAGTTCGAAGAAATTAAGATATGTTTTATTACATTCATCATCAGTTTCAATGCTTTTGAAAGTATGGTTAAAGATCGACTTTATCAAACATGAAATTGTTGAATTGGTTTTTGTCAATCATATACGCGTGACATTTTTTTTCTTTGATACATTTTTAACTAAATTACCTAATAAAGTTATCATGGTCGTTGTGAATATTTTACTAATCGTGGCAATTAACGTGTTAAATATTTGTAAAATATATTATTAAACTTTATTTTTGATATTTTAGAATATAAATTATTACATTTTATTTTCAAGAGTAAAAATATTATTTCAAGATAAAAATATTATAAGATATATTGAAAAACTATAGTCGTCTCAAGCTCTGCGGGCAAAGCCCAACTTGATCTCTTATTGTTTTAAATGTTTCAGATAACTTTTGTATAATAAATAACTTTTTATTGTTTATTAAAAATTGGAATATCAGTATTACATTACTTGTAATATTATACAAGTCTGGTGGTTTATTTCACAAGTGAACTTAAAGCCGAGCCACAAAACAATAAAAGAAATATGCTTTGGAATTTTTTGAGAAATAAATTATAAAAATACTTGAAAAATAATTCGTTTTATTTGCATTAGAATTAGAAAAACAAAAGGAAAAATAGGGTATTATATCTGGAAAAACTTTGCTCATGGTTTATACATTCATACATACAAATATATTTGTATATATATATATATATATATATATATATATATTCAGTATTGTACGTGGGTATGCATATTTATAAGAATGTTTGGCTCTATCAATACCTGTATTCATATATATCACTCTTATTAGTGGGGGACTTGAGGCTGTATAACCTTTCACAAACTGACAAATCAAGAGAAATTCAGTTTTTGCTCATTCTCTGTGCAAGCTTTATACGCTTAGCACATACAAAAGTAACAAATTCGAAGAAAAAATATTGTCCTCTTAATAAGAAATTTTTGGTAGTGTTAACAAATTTAGAAAAAAATATTTTACAATGAGGAGGTTTGCTCTAGGATTTTGTTTGCTGGTCGGTTTAGTTGGTAAGTGAGAACTTGGATTTAGATTTTTGTACTAACTACATTTATATGAAGTGAATATATATATATATATATATATATATATATATATATATTTGTTGGTGATTATAATATGTATATCTGTTTGTGACTGGAACATAGGCTAATTTCTTAGTGCTTGTGGTATAAATTTTCCTGTTTTACAATTATTTTTCTTAAATAATTTTATAAATAATTAAGGTTGTAGTATATTATTATAAAAATATTTTAGATTTAAATAATTCATATACCCACTATGTGAGAATTGATAGGCTCGGCATGTGCATTACTATTATGCATTGCACATATTGCATTATGCATCGCATGCAGGAAAGAATGAAAATTTTTAACTTCCTAGTACTAATGTGTTACCTAATATGTTATGGTAATATCAATAATTGTAATTGAACAATCACACGAATACCAACATATTCAACCCATGCATTAAGTGAATAAATTAATAGTTACTTTCTTACTATACTTGGGGATTTTCTTACTATACGTGGGGATTTGTTAATTTTGGGACCGGTAATTTTTTTGAAAACTTTTTTTTTAATTTTTTCATTACTAATTAAATAGCAATCAAAATAATAGCATCTTATAAGCTACTGGGATGGATTTGTACTCAAAATGTTCATAAATATGGCTTGTTTAGGTAACTCTTTGATGAGAGCCTTGATTACTTCAATTAAATCAATCAGTGAAAACATTTTTCAAAAATTAATTTTAATTATCAAAAAAATATTTGTGCATTCCAAATTAGATATAAACTTTTTTTCTGATTTATAATATAATATAAATAAATTATACCTAAATTATTATAATTTAACTTTTTTAATCATGTGATAAACTTTTCGATTTGGTTTTCATTTTTTTGTCGACATAGAATATAATATATTAGCTAAACCTGAAGATGCTTTACTGAAAAAAGATTATGTGGTCAAAAATTAATGATGATACGTTATTTAATAATTATGTATATATACAAATATTTCTAATAGCATTTGGATAATAACCTAACTTGTGATCAAAATTAGTCCTTGTATTAAAAAGTATGTAAGTAAGTAATGACTATAAAAATATGAAGCGGGGACGACAAAAAAAGGTTTTGGTATTATAATATTAGACAGAAAAAGTTTAAAAACTAATGAAATATTAAAAAATATATATTTATATTATTATATATATATATATATATTTATATTCTGTAAAGCGAAGTAAATGCGTTTACGCATGCCAGACTAGGTCTTTTGTCTGGGTATGACGGAGTTAATACCGCTTGGGTATAAATTGGTAAATGGTAATATCGACTAAAACTTCCGCTTATCTTTTGCCTCTTATCTTCAAGGAAACCGTTGTTAGTCATTACTTTGTGGGGGAAGGATCTAGAATGCTATGATTATTTCTTTTAAATATACTTTCCTTTCAATTAGTGCCATTTGCTCTTCTTTTATCCAAAGGTTGCAAGCCTATATTTAAGTATGTATGTATGTATGTATTATATATATGTATATATATTAAGGTGGTCCTTAATATGGACATTTTTGAATTTTCTTGCTCCCAAGGGCTCAAATAATTCCAAATTAATAAAAAACAATTCTCTGAAATTTTTAGCTCTTAATATTAATTTTTAGATAGTGCGCAATTCTATCAAACTTCGTATGAAAAAGGCATAGAAAAAATTTGAAAGTTAAAAAAATTTTTTTTTTAGGTATAACTTAGCGACAAATGGATTAAAAGTGAAAGTTTTTGTCATTTTTTATTGAAAATCCGACGCCCTGCAAAATTTTTGAAACTGTTTTCATGCTATTTCCATACAAAACTTTGATTGAATTGCGATCTATCTAAAAGACAATATTAAGAGCTAAAACTTTCAGAGAATTGTTTTTTATCAATTTTGAACCATTTGAGCCCTTGGGAGCAAGGAAATTTGAAAATGTCCATATTAAGGACCACCCTAATATATATAACCTGTATAGCGTATCGTAGTAATTTTTTTACGATAAAACTACTCTAAAAATTTATTCACAATAGGTTTTGAAGACAATTCAAGATGTGTAATATGATATACCGGTTTTTCTGCACGTTTGACATTAAAAATTTACACACAAATACCGACTAACTTGTTAATATATATACACTCAACGACATACTGAATTTTACATAATAAGATTGCGCAAAATGCTTTCAAATGTCGCGCGAAAGTTTATTATGCTCAGGCAGGTTCGTACTAGTCGATTCACAATAAAATAAATAATTGAAATAAATATTAATAAAATTAATAATATTGATGATTATAGTATTTATTTTCAATTTTACATAAATCATAAAAGCAGAAAAAATATATCAACGCGCTTCGATTTGTAAATGATTGATATGGAATTATTTTTTTCTACATCGACTGTCATTACTGGTATTCGGTATTATTGATAAATTTATGATAATTCTAGGAATGTATTATTTAATTAAATTCTTTGTTCCGCTGTTGTATTTGCATAGCGTTTGTATTGTTAATTTATAAGGGAGGCATATAATAAAACAATGCCACCACATGAAATGATAAATTAATTTAAATATTAAATTTACTGGATGTATACTAACTACAATTCGATTCAATTGCTTTGATTAATTTTTGTGTAATAAAATTAGAATAAAATAATTTTGTAATATATTTGAGGTCCGTAGTTTAGAAAAGTACGGTTAAAGTTTCTTAAATTTTGCGAATGTCTCTAGACAGAAGTGAGTGTCCTTACAGTCCTTGAACAAAAGATTGCATTTTGCTATTTCACCTGTGATTGTTTAATTATAATAAATTGAAGTTGTCAAGTTGTTACTGTATATCGTAATTAGAAATAAGAATATTAAGCAGCATATTATATATATATATATATATATATATATATATATATAAGAGTGCGTAGAAATGCATTTGCATATTAAAAAAGTTGAAGGTCTAAAGGACACTTTAGCACAACAACCTTTGTGAAGAATTCCAGACTTCAAGAAGAACTTTTTGTGTTATTTGCTAAACAAAACATAAGTTGGGCATAATGCTTATATATATATATACATATATATATATATATATATATATATATATATATGTGTGTGTGTATATATATACGTATATCTTTTTGTGTTTTCAAAACTGTTGTAAACGTTTAATATATGCACATATAAATTCATCTTCTGATTTTGTTAGTTCGAAATTTTTCTTCCATTTCTCTTTCGGTATTTTGTTTATATATTCAATATGCACATATGCGAATACATGTATACATGCACCCATACACAAATGTATATGGATGCATACATTTCGGGTAGGGCGGGACACAAAGGTCCAATTTGACTTTGACCAATTATATTGTGAGAACCAAACTAATTATATCATAACAAATAACACATATCAAACAAACAACTCTCTGACTATGTTCAGTAAAACTCCCAGCTCATCATTGTAGAAATGCGTTTCGTTTTTCTGTTTTTCAAAAATTTGTCACCTGGATCTATGAGCGGGGTAAAATGGGACTACCAGAGGACATACAGTTCTAATGTGTTATTTTTAATTTTAAAGAATTTGCCTAAAATAATAGCTACACAATTCTATGCAAAATATACATGTTGTGGGTACAGTTTTTTTACTGTATAATCTAATCTCGTTTTGGTATTTTATCAAAAATATTTATCAGCAGATTTAATTTATCTATATTTTTTAAATTGCTTTTTTATACTTAATTTACTATTTTACAATTTTGCATTGTTCACATTTTTGTTGCTAATTTGTACTTACAAATTGTATTTAAGTTTCGTGAACTAAAGAACAGTGCTCACAACCAAAAAATCTAACAACGAAATGGATTTTCGAAAAATGCCGTTTATCTCGCGATAGCAACGTCGTAAGAATGAAATTGATGACTGGTTACACATTTTTTTCCTCTACTTTTAAATATTGTTATTAAAAAAAATTTTAAGTACACTTATTTTTGAGATATTGGTGGTGGACCTTTTTATTCGCGGACCTTTAAGCCCATTCAAGTCTAAATATATATATATATATATATATATATATATATATATATATATATATATATATATATATATATATATTAATATATATTTTCCAATAGCATTCAATATTTTTTATTATTTTAAAAGTGAATGAAGAATTCTATGAATTTGCATATTAACTCGAATTTTATAATATTCCATAATTTATTCATAAAATTAGCAAATTTCTTGAAAAACAAAGTAGGATGTTGAAAACCTGTTGTCAATTTCTATTTAACTCTCTATATTTTTTTAATTATATTCTGGAATTCATATAATTAATTATAATTTGTCTTAAATGCTACACATGTATGCTATTTTCATTTTTATTTTTAAGAATATGCATAAAAGATTGAAAATATTAGGATAATTGTCTCAAACATTATGAAAAAATATATATCCACTATGACTATTCTACCTATAAATGCAATTCAATTTATTCACTTGCACATTTACTAATTTTTTCATTGTAGATTTGTTTCGTTTATCTTTCATTTATCGCAATTTATCAAACCGTACATTTTTTAAATCATCATTACATCCGTAAATTTCTTCATATATTCGACAACCCGTTTTATGCAAAAAATTATATAAAAAATACATATTTTAATTTTATTCAAAATTCATATTAATAGCATATTAATGCTTTCAAACAAAACCAGCCAATGGATTTCTACTTGACATTTAATCATACCCTTTATAAAACAATAAGGTCTATGCATTTAATACATTTTAAATATGTAGTTTTTTAGCAACCATTGATAAAATTTTGTTTTATCAAATTTTTGATTTTGTTGACAAATAAAATTTTAACAATTTTTACGTCTCATTTTTGTAAACATTTATTTTTTTTAAATCTAATTAGTATTTTTAATAAAATGAATTTAATTTTTATATTCTTATTATTGAATATAGTGGAATGGATTGGTATGTATGCAAAACAACTAATTATGATATTCTATATTATAAATTATTAATTAATTATTAAAATTATAAAATAGGATTACTTCATTAAATAATAACTTACAGATAAATTACAGTTATAATTTTTTGATAAGACATGTACCACTATTTAAATAAAAGTTTTAAAGTTTAAATATTGGAAATAATTTTTAACTCAATACTACTGGATACTATTTATACATTATTATCGACTTCATTATCAATAATTGACGTATTTTTTTTATTTTATTATAATCATTGCATTTTTGCAAATTTTCATTATATTGTACTATTTTGCACAGTAATAACTTTAATAATATCTTATTAAAGTACTAAATGTATATTATTCGATGATAATAGCACAAGTAACAATAATAATTAATAAATATATTAAAATACATTAAAAGTATGTACTATTATTTATTATATTATATACCTCTTCTTTATCTTTATCTTTATTATATCATAATAATAATAATGAATGATAGTCTGCTCGAAGACAGGTCCATGGTTCGAGAGCCATCACAATAAATTATTCCTTTACCTCTTGTTTATTATTACCATTACCACTATTTATTTTCATATATTTTCCTTTCCGAACTTCTGCTTCCATGCTTCTTGATCCTGTGCCTCGGCTTTCAGTTTCCTGTATTTTCTCTTCTCGCGTAAGACGTCAATCATTTGCATTATTCTTCTTTCCATTCATTTCAGTCCTTCTATTTTATTCTCGACGACGTCGTGTACGACAATAATACGTCATATATTTTACAGTAATAAAAGATATATTGTATGATATACTATCTTTATATATCCTATATACTATCCAATTTTCTTTCTTCTTCCACTTTATCTTCTAACCTTGTTTCTTTTTTGAACACCTAACTCAATTATATCTCAAAATCTACTTAATTTCAATCTAACTAATCAAAAAACATTTCTAAGACCGTTTCAGAACTCGAACCGAGTATCCCTGGCATGTGAGCCAAGCGTGCTACTGAGTGAGCTATTCCCGTCATAATAAATTAAAAAATTAAATTTTCCATAAGCTTAATAATTTATTTGTCATATACCATACAATAATAAAAGATTTATTGTATCATATACTATATTTATATATTCTATACTGTTCGGGCGTTTTTTCGTTTTATTATATTGGCCATGAAGGTGACAAAACTTCAGGGCATTAAGCTGTACACGGAATGGTTGCTACGCCTGGTAGAGGCGGTAGCGGAGTATTTTATTTGAACTAGTTGTACACTTCTAAAAGTTAAGTCCGCTTAACATCATGCAAATAACCAATAAAAATAAATATATTTTTTTTCATTATAACTTAGTAACAAATCAGTGATTGTAATTAGAACCGCAACAAATACTATATAATATACAAACAAATCAGTGTTTAATACAGTCCACAGCTACAAGGGTTAAATTATAACCCAACAACCTGAATTATCGAAGGAGAGTTTTAATAAATTCGTTACAAAACTACGTAACAAAAATACATATACTATCCAATTTTCTTTACAACTGACTTATATTCTACTTTTATTCTTCTTTATATTCTAACCTTGATTCTTCTTTTAACACCTAACCCAATTATATCTCAAATTAACAATTTAAAATCAAATTAATTTCAATCTAACTAATCAAAAACAATTCTACGTCCGTGCCAGGACTCGAACCGAGTATCCTTGGCATTTGAGTCGAGCGTGCAACTGAGTGAGCTATTCCCATCATAATAATGATTATTATTGAAATGAAATTAATTTTTTTGTTGTATTTGTAAATCTGTAGTCTTTAATATTTTATTTGTTTCTTCTTACAGCAGCCCAAAAGAAATCGGCAGCAGCCGATTACGAATGTCCCCTAAATCCTAAGACTGGTCAGTACCGCGATGGTCAGTACGAGCATGCGACTCAGTGTGATGCCTTTTACGAGTGCATCGATGGTTCTGCCAAGCTGAAGTACTGCCCGGACGGATTGGTCTTCGATTCCACGATAAGGCTGGTCAACAAATGCGATCAACCTTTCAACGTTGACTGCGGCGATAGGATAGAATTACGTAAGTAGTTGATAAATTATGGTGTATAAACTCTTGTTAATCATTTGTTATAGAGATGGTCGTATATTCTTCAAAGTTTGTTCCAGTGATTCTAGTTCATTTTATTCTTATTATAAATAGCAATATGTTTCCAAGTGAAAATAGCCCTCACCCGGCATTGTTGCACCATACTTGCCCTACTACAGAGATTGTAATATAAATTTCTCGTACAGAGATGTGACAACTGTTTAGGTTGCCATCTGTAATAAAACAAACGTAGTTTGTAAGATCTGAATCACAACACCTCATAGAACCCATAAGTTCTGATCGCTGTTCAAATAAATAAAAAAAAAATTTTATGATGAAAATTATTAGGTTGGCAACTAAGTAAATGCGGATTTTTATTAGAAAATCAAAGATAAGTTTTTATGGAACTAAACAACTTCATTTTCTTGTGTATTGTCCATTATGACCAATGACTTTTTGTCACCTTTCAAGCAGCATCATCATCTCACTTTTATAAACCTTCTGGCTTTTATTAGCAAAAAACTGAATCAGATATGATCATTGAGTTGTTTACCATTCAAGGAGTTTCGTAATGAATCTTTACGAAAGATCAAAACAAAATTATAGGAACGTGTAACATCAAGACTATTAAGGGGATGTAGCAAAACATCCCAACCGAGCTCTAATAATTTTTGCCGAGATATGTGATATCAGTAATTGAATAAACCACTGTTTCTATTTGCCAATTCATGTTGCTTTCTCAACTGCATTGTTCAATTTCGTCTGTTGTTTAATGTAGACATCATAATTGATCATTCGTTTAATAATAATAATCTAAAGAAGACAATTTTTTTAATCAACTTCAACTGGACTTACAGGGAATTTTGAGTAAAAAATTACCAGAACAAAATTTGGCACTGCATTTTCTAACGCTTCGTCACAATACACAACTCATAACTTTTCACGAGCTTAAGATGCTTCTTTACCATTGCAGAAATGAAAAAACAAAATATTGTGACGAATTAGGTTGATGTCCCGCTTCTTGGTGGTTGCAACGACTGCCAAACATTATATCTTAGCATTGCATCCCCATTACAAAAGGGTTACTCCAACACCTCAACTTGACTTCTATAAACACCCTGTAATTACCTGTGGAGCTAACATCACTAACTACACGAATGAAACAGAATGCACTTTTATCTTATTTGATTATTCTAATTATGATTACCGGTGTGAGGGCATGACTGCACCTACGTACAATCATGTCCTGTGCCTAAACTCTAACGTACTGATAAATCTTTATTAATTACTAACGGAGTAATATAACGACGGATTAACGAACTGACGGATTAACGAACTGACGGAGGGAATAGCTACTATACAATACAATCTGACCTTTACTGTAACAGGTTCTTCTTACCTGGCCTAACACACACACCACTATACACTAAGCGGGTCCAGAGACTGGACCCGAACGATCTCCTCGGAGGATGTCACATTTTCTAAAGCCTCTTTTCAACCCTCGACTTGAACCTTATATCGCAGGAAATCAAGTAGAGATGAGTGGGGGAGTCTATTTGCACCGATGGTTGTGCAACCCTTTGACGACAATGCCAATTGTCGTTACAATATTCAAAAAAAAAACTAAACTGTCTACTATATCGTTTAGAAAAAGGTATTATTTTACCTTTGGTCTACGTCAGCAATCCTAAAATTTTACTCAAGACTGTTGAAGACCGCCCTTACATAGTTTCCAGCCCAATACTATCTACTTTTTCCCTATTTTCTATGAGTAACTAATGTTTATGTGTGCGTCGAACGTGATTTTCTCCATACTTGCAAAATAAAAATTAATTTTAACAAAACAAATAAATTCTAAATATTTAATTATTATATTGTTGCCAAAACACTTCATAATGCCATTTTAAAAGCACGCAATTTAATCCAGCTGTTGTGAGCTCAGAGCTTCTGTCACTTCTTTCTTTTGTTACAAAAGCAATAACTTATGAAATCTGACAGTGGAATTTGCTGCAACCCCATGAGTGTGCAAAGTTCTTCGGCATACATATTGCTAACATACAAGACTCGATATCAAGCAGTATGATATCAAATTTCCTCTTGACATAATAGATTCTAATATAATGTTAAGTCAAAATCTTTTTTGGGCATTTCTGTAACGTATACAAGCCGGGTCTATTAAATATCATAGTCTACACGTAAAGAAGGTTAACCGTTGGGTTGCCTACACAAAAAATACTTGTTGGGATGTACGATGGAAATCGTAGAAGCTGAGGAGTTTAGAATGTACGATAGAAACTTATAGAAGCTCTGATCTCTGTTCACAATAAATATTTCAACAATTGTACAATTCCTTATTATGTATAATAGGTCGCTGCGTGCATTTCCATCAGTATAATAGGGCTATAATATACAAAGTTGTTTTTCAAGTAGTTTTTGATTTATAAACTTACAGAGTTATATCAGTTTTTTTTCAACTTAAACTTTTTAGTTCAAGAAAATTATTTTTTTTACGGGAAGCCACGTGGTGAGAAATATTTATATTTATAAGAAGTTCAATTTTTGCAGCTATTATAAGTCATTGCAATAATACGTTAAGCGTTTGCTAAAATTTCTAATACCTAGTTTCTAAATTATATAATTAGCATAGAAATTAAAAGTAAACACTTACAAATCATGGCCTGGAACCAAATATCGTATTATTATTTCTCTGGAACGCTATTTGGAGAAGGTCTCTTTTTTCATTAAAAAGAGTCGCGTGGTGCTATAATAATAAACGATTAGAAAGTAAAAGCAGAA